TAAGACCCAAATTATAGTAAAGAGAGTAAGCTCATTTTGTAAATTTGAGACGACCATCTGCACATAATGATGATACAGGTCACATAAATCATGGAGTAGAATAACGTTTAGCATAATATTAGAACCTTCAAGTTGATAATGTTCCTTCGAATTTGTTGGATACAAAACATCACACCAGAATATATTGTATACCCAAAACAGCCGCCTTCTACTTACTACCACTGATTTATTCTGTCCTTGCTTGCAATGAGGACAGCGAGCCAAGTTTTGCTTCACTGTCGCATTAACACTTACTAGGCGCAAGACCTCAACAAGAATAAATTTTATTATGTTACAGAGAAGTGCAAGTCTGCTAGCTCCGCTGCAAAATGCAAAATGGGAGGTTATCCAAACCCTCGAGATTGCTCTAAATGCATATGTCCACGTGGATACGGTGGCGCTTTGTGTAATGCAAGAGTACGTTGCTGCAATAAGAGATAAAGACGAAACTCAATAGTTCCTTTCAGCCACAAGCGAAGACATGCGGTGAAACAGTCACGGCTCTGTCCGAAAAACAGACCATCACGCACACTTTGGGAGATAGTAAAAATGGAGCAACTCTTGCTGACTTCGAGCAATGCTACTACTGGATCCAGGTTAGCAACCAGCAAAGCTTTTCAAGCAAACTTTATTTGTATGATCGTGTTATCTCTGAGCTTCATGCTGGATTGGTACAAGTATAAAATAAAGCTCTTGGTCAGTATCGGTAATGGCAGCGTTTCGATACCGATAAAATCATCGTCAGGCCTATATACAACATATAAATGATACGTAAGTATAAAATACAAACGGCGCGTGCACCTTTTATTTCTTCTTAGGTGTTAGGTAGGGTGGAGGGAGACTGTTGTATATAGGCCTGACGATGATTTTATCGGAATCGAAACGTTGCCATAACCAATGAACTTCTGATCAAGAGCTTTCTTTTATACTTTTACCAGAAACTTCATTTGATAAAATTAAGAATCCGGAAAAGAAGACAGTCAAACTAACAATCAAAAGCCTCAAAGTCGGATATGATAATGTTGCTTGCAATTATGGAGGTGTCGAAATTAAAGCACAAAAAGATCAGCTCATGAGCGGCTACAGGTTCGCGAACATGCACCGAAGCGTGCTTTATCATGTCATCTAATTTCATAAATTTCAGATTCTGTGACTCCGAAGAGAATAAAGGAAAGGTTATAACTTCATCCAACACAGTCATTCCCGTCATACTTTACACTCGCTACGGAGCAACCAAACTCGAGTTGGTGTACCGCACTGGTAAGTGGCTATTCCAGGCTGCAGATCTCTTTCAGATATACGAATTTTCAGTCTGAGAGTAGAACCAGAAGGACTTTCTTCGTTTTTCAAAACACAATCCTAAGCAATAAATGTTTCGCGACAGTTTCTAGTGTGATTCAAAAATTCTTGAGTTTGTTGTTTCACTTGAGTACTGTTACCTGCGAAATTCTGGCAACGTCTCGTAGAAAAGCTGAAGTCTATGATCTCCACTTGTAGATGGCGTATCGTCGAAGGATAAACTCTCAACTCAAACAGAATTTCCAAGAAAGAATTCACAAAGAAGCAAACAAACAGCTTGCCATCACACGCTCGCATCCGTCTCGAGTCATGACAAATTTCGACTGGGATTCGTGAACTGCTTCCAGATTGGCGCAAGCTTCACTTTAGCACCCGCCGTTCAATTTAACCTTGGACAGAGTTCACGCGATTTCATTGCCGCGATTCTCCCAACAAGACAAACAGCTACGAG